AATAGAAAATCTTGGTGGTCGGAGGGGTTTGAGGGCTAGAACAGCTGCTATTTTACATTTGCCAAACCCCCCCCCCCCCCACGGAAGAGGCGAATGTCGCCCTTGGGCCACACCCAATTTCCTATCGAAACCCCCCCTCCACCACTGAGGGGCTGAATTATGCCTTGTGACCACACCCAAACTTGGCCAGTAATGTCTGGACATACGTTTGCTGGGAGACTTCGCAGTAAGTCAGGTTGCAGGTTGTAGGTGCATCTTAGCTTGTATTCCGTTGTTGCTCACTATTTTTAAATCATTTGAAAGATTTTCTTGCCTGGCTGCCAAGGTGATGGTGATGGTTGCTTCAAGTGCCTTCATGTGCCCTATCTTTTCAGAAATTAAGATATAGCCAGGGAGACTTTGCAGTGAAACACCTGGCCTCAGTTTTTCAAAATATGGAAGCACTATCCACTGGATAAATCAGTATGCAGTGGATAAGTATTAGGAAAACCAATTACACTATCCAGCAGATAGAGATTTATCTGCTGGATAGTGTGATCTACTGTTTGATCATCTTGGACCTGGCATACTCTAGAATGAATTTCCTTGGGTGCCCGAGAATTTTCAGGCACTATTGTCTGTTTTGGTTAGGTCTTTATAGTGATCCACGAGAAAAGTGTCAGACACCTTCCAAAAACTGAACATTTTGCCTCCACCAAACAACCAAACACTAAGAACAACACTTGGAGGTATTCAAAGGTGAGTCAATCAGAAAGGCCATTAAAACACTCTATTAACCCAAACTGATTATCATTGTTACAGCCTTTGTGACGCCTTTGGGGTAGTAGGGCCATCTAAGTAAAGCCATTATACACGCATACAAAATAGAGAGAGAAACAATAACAAAAACAAGTAATAAGTATACATTATAGTGCAACTTGTAAACAAACCCAGCCTAACAGAACAAACTAAAAACTAAATTTAGACAAAATAAGTCCATGCCGAGCCTGGGGGTTTCTCTCCTGTATCAGTAGCAATAATTTCATGGTGGTTTTCAAAAAAAGCAATTAGAATAATGAAATGCAAACATTAGTAGCAGGGTATGAAAAGGATTGTGTTGTTAGCTGAAAGCAAGTGCATCTTGCAATTCTTTAATGGTTTTGGAAATTCACTAGATCAGGTACTTGCTCATCAAATGATCAAATGACTAATACAGAAAATAAAGAATACATGTAACACAACTTCTTCTGGTCCAATTGTAGTGAGCAAGCTCAATGGTAAATAAAAGAGTAATATTATTTTTTTCCTTTCACAACCTCGGCCCTCCTGACATCTCCCTCCTCTCGGCACTATCTTCTCAAAATACTGGTTAATAGAAAAAAAGGGATGCATGTATTAACCAGGTCATAATAACATCTAACCAATCACAGTGAGGCCTGCTGTTGTTTTTCCTCAAATGTGTTAGGAGATTCATAATAAATTGTAACTAAGTTGACATGCTTGTACATCGCTTTACAGTGGTAACTAACAGTTCATCTCCAATTGCGATTAACATGTATGTCTGTCCCGATGATATTCTCTAGCACATCTCTGTGAATTGTTGCAAAACAAGCTTTGAAGTGTATTTGTTTATTTCTCTCTTCTACACTTCCAAGACTAAGAGGTATGGTGCTCTTCACCTTCCATTCACTTGTTTCAAAATCAAACATTTCAACAGACGTTTCTCTGGCTGCAACTTGATTGTCAGTATTCTTTGATCCACCAATAACATACAAAGCTCCTTTAAAGTAGACCATGCTTGCAGAATGACGAGGTACTTGGAGACTCACCATCAGATGCCACTCATTGGTTGAAGGGGTGTAAACCTCACATGTGTTAAGCAGTATAGATCTAAGTTCTCTCATTTGAATTCCACCTGCTACATAGATCTTGTCATTCATGGCTGCTCCAAATGCATCATGCCTTGCCTCATTCAAAGGCGCAACCTCTTCAAAACTCACATTGCTTGGATCAAACTTCTCCACTTTAGTAATTCCAGTAGCTGTGGAATTTTCCCGATCAGTGCCACCTACAATGTAGAGGTGAGGTCCATTTGCTATGCCACAAGCTCCCCATCGATTTCTAGAGTCCTCATCTCCTTTTACTTTCCAAAAATTTTCATCAGGATCATATGCAAAAACTGTGCTCTCCGGGATATCAGCATCATTGGTTAATGCATACAAATATGAATAACCACTCAGCACGGAGAGGCTAGAAAATTGCTCATCATATCCAAAGTCTGTTTGAATTGAGCCCCAACAGTTTGTGGAGGGCACATAGTATTCTATAACATGTACGTCTGAGGAGACATGTACTTCCTGCTTACTAAATATGTAAACTTTCTCCCTGTACTGTATGGCAGCATGGTTTTGATGTTCAAAAGTCATCTTTCCAATCTGATACCACGCGTCTACATGGGGAGGATAACACAAAGCCCTCCTACCCCCACATACAAAAATTCCTTCCACCTGCACCTTCAGGCAATTTCTTGGTCCTTTGGTAAGACTTTCTTCTGTAGGAATAATAATTGACTCCATGGACCCCAGCAAATAGTTTAGGCAGTCATTATTTCTAGTTACAAGTTCTTCCTTCACTACGTCCCTCAATAAAAAGTTGTGTGGCATGGATCTTAGGCGGATGTGGCGCAGTAAATCTAGAAAAAATCCTTCCCTTTCACTTCTGTTGTAAGATACCCACTTAACAATTCCCTCGAATACCTCTTTCTCGGAACTGACTTTTATGTCATCACTAGACACCCATTCCATGACTTGCTTTATTTCAAGGTTCAGAAAATCTTCTGTATCCATCACAGCAGTGAAATTTGAATGAATCACCGTGCGACATGCTCGTTTTAGCTCTTCGCAATGATACTTGTCAGCATAATAATAGTTGCAAACACAGTTCTCAAGTGTCAACTTCCCCTTTAAAACAGCAACAGCCAATGTTTTTAACCCTGGTAGAAGCAGATAATTCGCTGTGGCAATTAACTTGTGGCAGTTTTCCTCGGTGACGGAAGCATTTCCAGTATAGATGTATTGTAGCACGTCTTCCATGACAGAAGCAGTCGCCTCTTCAAGCTTGATTTCGATTCGTTGTTCGTTGCTTTCTATCATGTTGCTTTCCCAAAGTGAAAGAAAAAACGGGCTTGCTGCAGCTAGCACAACCTTGTGAGCTTTGAATTCTTTGCCTTTTACCGCAACTCTTACATCGCAGAAGGTTTCTTTTGTTCTCAGGGCTTCAAAACGCTCAAAAAGCTGGTCACGATGTTTCGCAGGATCTGCCGCGATCGGCTTCGATAAGTCAGCCATGTTGGTCAAGCAAAGTCTGAGAAAGGATGGGCGTGACGTCACGCCTCCAAGGCCGAGGAGGTCTTGTGAGCCTCTGACTGCCCTTCACTGAAACTTACCAGGCGGTGTGCGCACTACGATCGCTAAGCATCATGGGCGGTATTCAAAATCTGATCATTTGTGTCAAGATGGCGTGGAGTGAACATCTCGACTGCGGAGTGAATATTCGTTAATTACGCTGTAGATATATACGATTTTGCTTTGAATCTCTTCCGGAAGCTCTTGAAAAAGAAAGTCTGTCCAATTCTCAGGGAAAAAACAGTCTCATTCCGTTGATAATTGTATTCTGGTGTATTTTGTTCGTAATCACTTGCATCCTGTTTGCAACTGACCGCGAGAAGTCGGCACAGAAACGCTTTGTTCAAAGCTTCAATCATGAAAAGCACTGGAGGTAAGACCCGCGGTTCGCCGAAAAGTTTGAATTCACCGTGAAATCAGTGCAACTAATGCTAAGAGGTACTGATATGCATGGCTGTGATATACATACATGTACTCATAAAATACTATGAGCTTCTTCAGAATACCCGGCCACGGTATTTAAACACAGTGAGCTTATTTTGTTTTGTCATTCAGCATTGCAAGATGTTCACTTGCTAGCTGTAACAAGAGAATCGAAGTTGAGGGGGTCATCTTTTCAAGGACTTGTTTCTCTGTTGGCACCAAGTCTGCATTTCATTTTGCTTAACATCTGTATTTATCATCACATGAAGACGAGTAAATAAAGTGGAGAGTATTTGTGTACAATGAACTTGGGTCCTCTTTATAGATAATATAATATTGAGCATCTTTATTTGCCCATATATTTTCTATTGGTATGAGTCATAGAATGTCTTATAACTGGATTGAAACTGAAAATGGCATATTTGTGATTACAAAGCCTGATGCAGTCAATAGATTTTAAAAGC